CTCTCCTTCCTTCCCTCCCTCCCTCTTCTTTAGTCATTCCTTCCATAGCCACTGTTGGAAAGGACCTTTCTGTCTCATTCATTTGGAAAGAGAACTCCCTCTGAGGGCTCAGATGCCCCCTGCGTTTGTTTGACTATTCGCCCTTCCACACAAGTACTTTCTGTCAGTGTGTCCTTCCTGCCTCCTTAGACTAATTTCTTTCCTCTGAGTTTTCCCCCTCCACCATCTCGCCTCACCTTCCTTCCTTTCTGAAACCTCTGTCCCCTCAGTGTCCCTTTTGCTCCCCAGTTCCCATTCTCTCCCTCTGGGGTCTCCTCGCCACGTCTCCCTCCCCCCCCCAATCTGCCCACCTCACATCCAACCCTGGGCCATAGTTCCCACCCCACCCCCACCCCCCACCCCCAGGCCTACAGCCCGCTCCCAGCGGACAGCGGAGGAGGGAGGAGGGGGCCCGCGGAACAGGTAGCGGGAGCGCGGCTGGAATTGTGGGGAACGCGGGGTGGGGAGGGAAGGGGCGGACGGCGGCGAGGGGAGGGGCAGCCTCGCTCCCATCTGAGTCTCCCCCCCCCCCTCCTCGCAGCCACTAAGCCATAAATCAGGGCCGAGGCGGATCGGCCAATGGGAGAGTGACTCGTAAATCGGCCTGTCAAGCTCAGCCAATGAGAACGGGCGTTAAATCAAGTCCTGTCAGCGCTTGGCCAATGAAAGGCCCTGGGCTGACCATAAATCTGCCTGTGAGAGACAGCGAAAGAGAGAGAGAGTGTGAGCGAGCAAGAGCCCGCGTGGGCGGGGGAGGGGAGGGAGGAGGCGCCGCGGGGGCAGGAGTGGGCAGGGAGGGAGGGGAGAGGCAGGGGGAGGGTAGGAGAGCGGGAGGCCCGAGAGAAAACCCCGCGATAACTGAGATGCGGGGGACGGAGATGTCCTACGGGAGAGACGGACAGATGGAGAGAGACAAAGGCCGACGGGAGAGATAGTGTCAGAGAGCGCGCGGCCGAGCGCGGGCTCGCGCGGGACACGGACGGGCTCGCGGGCACGCGCACCCGAGCGGCCTGGCGCACGGACACGCGCGGTGCGCGCGCACCGCGAGCGATTGAAGGCGGCGGGGGGGGGAGGAGGGGGGAGCTCACTGTCTTCTCACTCCCAGCCCTTTACTGTAATGAAGGCGAGGTGCTGGGTGGGTGGGTGGGGAGAAGGTGAGGAAGGGCCGCCTCAGAATACTGGCTTCCTTGGTGTTCCCTGAGTCCTTTTCTTCCTAAAATCGTCCCTTGAGACATTTCCCCCCCAGTGAGTAATAACTGGGAAGTCCTTCCTGAGCGGCCTAACTTCAGTCCTCATTTGAGGAAGCCTTCAAGGAACATGAAAAGTGAGCCCTTTTACAAGCTTCAGAACCTTAGAAGGGAGGACTTTAGGGATCAACCAGTCACTTGATCCTAGTTGGAGCTAGGCAGGCCTGCCCAAAGTGGGTAGCCAGCCTGGTGTGCTGGCGATCAGATCAGTTAGACTTGCCTTCTGAGAATCAGGGTCCTACCCATTTACTAGCCCTTCGACCTGGGACACATGAACTGGTGTATCAGTTTTCTCACTTGTGAAGAGATGATAGCAGACCCTTCGTGGGAATTTTGTGAGCGTTACCTGGAATAATCTAGTTGCAGACTTTGGAACCTGACTAGGCTTGTGGGAAGAGTGAGCCCTGCCCTCTTCCCCTTGGTTTTGTACCTGTCACGAAACCTGAGCCCAAGAGTGGTCTTCAAAGAGCTGTTCCTTATTTATTGATTGATTTTGGTCTGTCATGGGGCTTGAATTCTGGGCCTGGGCACTGTCCCTCAGCACTTCAGCTCAGGGCAAGTGCTCTACCACTTGAGCCACAGTGTCACTTTCAATTTTCTGGTGGTTTATTGGACATAAGAGTCTCATAGACATTCCTGCCCTATCTGGCTTTGAACCATGACCCTCAGAACTCAGCCTCCTAAACAGCTAGGATTACAGGGGTGAGCCACTGGTGCTTGGTGAGCTGCTTCTTTATATGGAGCAAATTTTCAGAGTCTTGTGCCAGTACCAGGTCTTGAACTCAGAATCTCGAGCCCTTGTATAGCTATTTTTTTTTTTGCTCAAGGCTCTACCCCTTGAGTTACACTTCCACTTTCAGTATTTTTGCTGACTGATTGGAGATAAAGATCCTCAGATCTCAGTCTCCTGAGCAGCTAGGATTATGGGCACTGGGCCATCTGAGCCCAGTTCAGGTTATGGTTTCTGTCATAGGAGGCTACCTAAACATATATGCAGTGGTTTAAAAGGCAGGATTCTTGGGGCCCAGAAACATGCTATATATAAGGGTATCCATCTATCCACTCTCTGTGCACATTTGATTCTCTCCAGACTCTTCTCCGTTCTCAGTCCAGATGTTGGGGGGTTAGGAAGGGCAAGCGGCCTCAAAGCTTTCACATTCCACCCCAACCCCACTCACCAGACAATCACTACTTCATGAAAATAGAGATCTGTGCTTCACTTTTTCCCCCCTAAGCTTTGGGGATGAGGGCCAGTGCAGATCCCTGAGTTTCCAACCAGCTGGTCAGGACCTCTGGTCCTGCAGGCCCTTCCTGTCCATCTGGGAAGTCAGAAAGGAAACACAGGGAACTAGCGCCACCTGGTGGCCACAGGTGATTTCGGGCTGTGGGAGTACATGCCAGATTTTATAGTCATGCTGGAGGGAAAGTACTGTGGTTTCCCCCTAGCCAGGCCCCTGATCTTTCTCAATGAGTGTCTCTGTTCTGCTTTCAGAAGCCAGGGTAACAAGAGCTCCTGGGAGAGGCGGGCAGCAAGGGGCCTGGGGAACGGGGGACTTAGCCCCAAAGAGCAGACCCTGCCAGGGCAGTTGAGATCCTTGTGTGCCTTGGCCTCAACTACACCAGAGCAGAGTCATCCTTAACTAGACCTTTTGTGCAGGGCATAGGAGTAGGGAAGGGGCTGGGTTCACAGGAAGGCTGTCAAGATGAATCACCAGGCAGATGCTGATGGCTCACACCTATAATCCTAGCTGCTGAAGTCTGAGGATTGTGGTTCACAGCCAGTCTGGACAGGAAAGTCTGTGAAACTTATTCCCACTAAACTACCAAAGAAACCAGAAGTGAAACAGTGGCTTGTGTTAAAGCACTAAGCCCTGAGCAAAAGAAGCTCAGGGATAGCACCCAGGCCCTGAGCTCAAACCCCAGAACTAGTACAAAATAAATAAATAAAAATTGTTGGGGTGGGGGAAGCGGGGATAGCGCCCGGTTCTGGGAAGTAAAACATAAAGGCAGGTAAATCTTTTGAAACAGTCTCACATTTCTCTTATTTCTCTCTATTAAAAAAAATTTTTGGTGGTACTGAGTTTTGAGCCCAGAGCTTTGCACTTGCTAGGAAAGTGCTCTACTATGAGAGTCACACTCCAGGTAGGATCTCTCAGTTTTTTCCCAGACTATGCTAGACTGCAATGCTCAGTATGTAGATTTATGCTGCAAACGTAGCTGGGATGACAGGTACCCACTATGATGCCCAGTTTATTGGTTAAGATGTTTAATGTTTCCTCCCCATCTCAGCCTCCTGTGTCTCTGGGATTACAGTACTAATCATCCAGGCCTGGGTACCTCACGTCTTATAACATGGAAACCTCAAGTAAAGGCTATGTCCTTGTTCAGCTGTTGTCTACCTCTGCTCTTGCCCTTCAGATGATCAGCTGTTAGGCTCTATCTCCAACCCTGATCTTTTTTTTTTCTTCCATAGACACCAAGTGTAAATATTAAAACCATTTATTTGTTTGTTTATTACCTCATCCTAGGATTTGAACTCTGGCCCTGGTGCTGTCCCTGAGCTTCTTTTTGCTCAAAGCTACCACTCTACCACTTGAGCCAGTATGCCACTTCCAGCTTTTACTGAGTAATTTATTGGACATAAGAGTCTCGTGGAATTTTCTGCCTGGGCTGGCTTCAACTTTGCCTGGCTTTATTTATTTATTTTTGGGTCGGTTGTGGGGCTTGAACTCTGGGCCTGAGCACTATCCCTCAGCTCTTCAGCTCAAGGTGAACACTCTACCGCTTGAGCCACAGCGCCACTTCCCATTTTCTAGTGGTTTATTGGAGATAAGAGTCTCACTAACTTTCCTGCCCAGGCTGGCTTTGAACTGTGATCCTTAGATCTCAGCCTCCTGAGTAGCTAGGATTACAGGTGTGAACCACTGTCGCCCAGCCTGGCTTTATTTTATTTTAAATAAGATGGTCTCACTGTATAGCCCATGCCGATTTCAAAATCAAAACCCTCCTGTCTTGAATACTAGGATAACAAGCATGCACTACAACACCAAGCTGTACTTTTATTAATGATTAATAAGACTTTCGTGGGGGCTGGGAAGGTGGTTCAGTGGTAGAGTGCTTGCCTTGCATGCATGAGGCCCTGGGTTCGATTCCTCAGCACCACATAAGCAGAGAAAGCTGGAAGTGGTGCTGTGGCTCCAGTGGTAGAGCACTAGCCTTGAGCTGAAGAGCTGAGGGACAGCGCCCAGGCCCAGAGTTCAGGCCTCATAATGGACAAAAAAAAAAAAAAAAGACTTATTGGATGCTGGTGGCTTGTGTCTGTAATCTTAGCTACTCAGGATCTCAGTTGAAAGTCAGCCCAAGCAAAAAATTGTGAGAGACCCTTATTTCCACTTGACCAGCAAAAATCTGGAAGTGGAGGTGTGGCTCATATGGTAGAGCACCAGCCTTGAGTAAAAAAAGCTAGAGGAGAGTGCTGAGTTCAAGCCTCAGTACTGGCACACACACACACACACACACACACACACACACACACACACACACACACAAATTAGTAGGGCTCCTTGGGCATTCTGGGGCTGAAACACTGGTGGAGGAAAGGGGTAGTTTGGTGGGCATTCCACAGGTCTTACTTTCATCTGTTTGTCTAACAGCTGCCCGCTTCAGTTTTGGAAGAGATGGTGATCTTTGGTTCTGGTAAATGGGCTCAGAGTTCTAACGGAGCCTACGGAAGCTCTGGGGCCCTCGTTTTAATATGGAGCCGTATGCTCGGCGGAACTGGTAGTTCATGGCTGCATAAAGAACTGGATTGATACAACTGTTGAGCCAGGTGAGGTTGGCAGCAAGCATGTGGACTACCCGGGGGGCCCGGATCATAGCATCCAGGAGGTTGAGCAGCAGGAAGGGGATGTAGCTCAGGACAAAGCAGAGGAACACCGCGAAGCACATCTGAGTCACTCTCCCAAACTCTGCTGAAGAATCCTGAGCTCTTCGGGCTCCTTTAGTTGGCTGGGCCCTGGCAGATGTTTCTTGGGGGCTTTTCTCTGCCATCTGCTTGGCTACTTCGCTGTGGCCCTGGTGCCCTGGCTCTGACGAGTCCCCTTCCAGGGTCTGGGTGGTAGCAGCACTGACTGGTTCAGATGAAATTCCTTCCCCAGGTCCCCTAGATGCCAGCCCGCTGTCCAGCTCCTGGAAACGCCCAGGCAAAGCCTCATCCGTCCCAGCCACGTGGTTGGAGCGGATGCTGGCATGCTTCAGCTTGTACTTGTCCAGCGCCCGGGCTGCTCGTCTTACCTGACTATGAATGAGGCCATAAAAGATGCCCACGCTGCTGAGCCCAAGCACAAAGTAGACACCCAGGAGTATAGTGGTATATGGCCGGCCTTGAGTGCGGTGAAAGCTGCAGGTGCAGACGGAGGGTACCAAGATATAAACAGACCAGAGCGGGGCAAAGCTGGTCACCCCCACCACCCAGGTGCTCACCAAGGCCAGCACTACCCGCCTTGCACTGAACACTCGAGGAAAGAGCTTAGGGTGGGCAATGAGGAGGTAGCGTCCCAGGGCAATGAGGCAGAGAGTGAGGATGGAGACAGAGTTGGAAACAAAAAGGAGGAGTCCGAACACCCTGCAGAAGGTGGCACCCGTGCGCCAGTGCAGGTGGAGGTAGGTGTCCACGGAGAAGGGCTGGAGCAAGGTGCAGTACAGCAGGTCGGCCAGGGTGAGGTTGGCGATGAGCAGGTTGAAGCGGGTGCGCAGCTTGGGCTGGATGGCTAATGCCAGCAGGGTGAGCACATTTCCCACCGTGCCTGTCACAGTCACCACTACCCCCCAGCTAACAGCCACATAACGATAGCCCAGCACAGACTCGTGGTAGCAGGAGAAGTTGGCATCCGGGGTTGTCAACATGATGGAGGCTGAAGACACAAGGAGTAGAAGAAGAAAAGGGAATCAAAACCTGGCCTTCCACATTGGGGCTGCTAGTCATGCACCCGTGGCTCACGCCTGCCATCGTGGTTCCTCAGGAGGCTGAGATCTGAGGATCGTGGTTTGAAGACAACCCAGTCAGGAAAGGCTGTGAAACTCTTAACCACCAGAAAACTAGAAATGGAGCTGTGGCTCAAAGTGGTAGGGCACTAACCTTGAGCAAAAGAATTCAGGGACGCTGCCCATGCTCTGAGTTCAAGCCCCACACAGACAAAATAAAACAACAACAAACCAGTCTTTCATTGTTATTGTTGTTGTTGGTCATGAGGCTTGAACTCAGGGCCGGGCACTGTCCCTAAGCTCTTTTGATTAAGGCTAACACCTCTACCTCTCTGAGCCACAGCACTACTTCTGGTGTTTAATGGGAGATAAGAATCTGGGTTTCCTGCCTGGGTTGTCTTCAAACCATGATCCTCAGATCTCAGCCTCTTGAGTAACCAAGATTACAGGTGTGAACCACCACTTCTGGCTTATATGAGACTCTTATCTCCACTAACTTACCACAAAAAAAAAAAAATTAAAAAAAAAGCCAGAAGTGGAGCTGTGGCTTAAATAGTAGAGTGCTAACCTTGAGTACAAAATCTCAGGCTCAGTGCCTGATTATATCACCAAGTCCATTGTTGAAGTTGAACTAAGTGAGGCTCTAGAGCAGGTTAGGAATGGTACCCTGCTTTTGTAGGGAGAGGTCTTAGGACAGGAAGCAATGTCTTCATGGAGACAGCCCAACCACTCCAGTGGCTTTCAAAATCCCCCTAGACCAGCAGTAGCATCTCAGGAACTTGCTAGATAGATACATCCTTAGGCTCACTCACTCAAAACTGGGTGGGACCCATATATACATTTTCAAATAAGCCCCCTTCACCCACCCCAGAAGTACTCACCTGAGCCTTCCAAGTCTTCTGTTTTCTCTCTAATGGAGGAAGCCCAACTTGCCTAAAGAGACCTTCCTAGTTAGGGGACATACAGGGGTCAAACAGGAACTAGAATGTCTCCTTTTCTGCTAGACTAAAAGAACAAGAAACTCCCCAGTTACTTAATCTCAGCCACTTCCTTCCTTACCTTCTGTTGGAACTACTCGTTTTGCTTTTGCTACTAAAATCTGGGCTTCTAGAAGGGGGGAGAGGGAGGGGTCAGTGTGAGATAAAGAGGGATGGGGTAAAAATTATTAAATACAAATGAACTTACCTATGTAATGATAACTCCCCAGCTCATCACCTTGTCAATAAAAAACAAAATAGCATAACAATTTACATGATAACTAAACAAAGTTTGAAAATATAATAAACTTTAAAATAAAAAATTTTAAAAATCAAGGCTAGGAAGGTGGCTCAGTGGTAGAGCGCTTGCCTTGCATGCTTGAGGCCCTGGGTTCGATTCCTCAGCACCACATAAGCAAAAAGAAAAAAGCCGGA